AACAAATAAATATTAAGCCTTTTTTTTTGTATGTAAATTTTGATACTCTTTAGATCATAATTGCTCTTTATTTCATAAATTACAGTTTCATATTTTTAATTGTATAATTTCTGCATGCCATCTTACCAGATTTAAATTTATGATTTATGATCCCTAATCTTGAAAAACCCCTAATCTGGAATCACTGAATTCCCAACGAGTCCAGATTACGGACTTTGTACTGTACAGTCAAAAGTCGTTAATCCGGACTCATCGGGACTGCGGCGATTCCGGATTATAGATCATCAGTTTAAATCTGGGAAGATGGCATGCAGAAATTATAAAATTAAAAACATGAAACCGTAATTTATGAAATAAAGAACAATTATGATCTAAAGGGTATCAAAATTTACAGAAAGAAAAAGCTTAATATGTATTTGTTTACTTTATTAAACATTTCTTTCAATGTAAGTTGTTTAAGTTGCTTCGTTTCCTGTGATAATACTTTCTCTTTAATTCTATTAAACAGACATAATTTCTTGTTTAGTTACAAAGTTCCACTGTTCAAGTACTATAATTGCTGAGTCAAGAATACTGACTAATTTGTCAATCGAAATTTTTTCGTTTTCAATAATCTCTGCGTCACTTTCTTCACTATCGGAAGCAAATTATAATGACGAGGAATTTGATTTAAATCATATCAAAGACGGAGTACATCGAGATGAAATACTACATTTAGTAAGGAATTATAAGCCAATTAAAATAAAAACATCTGCCCTGAAGATAAGGATAGTGCTGACAGATCAACTTCCAATTCATTGCGCGCCGCGTCGTTTCCCTCCCTTCGCAGAGCAGCGTGAAATTGATAAACAGATTTCGGAATGATTAGATAATCAAAGGATATGCCTTTATCCATTTTTTGCAGCAATTCCACTTTCTGTTTAATGGACTTTGAAACATACTTTCGTTTTGTAAATCCTTTACATATTAGTAAATATATATCGGAAATTCTATTTGACATAATCGAAAGTTCAAGCTTACTTTTATGAAATTGTTCTAACAGTCTGCAAAATATAATAAGCCGGATCCAATTCGAAGATTAAGGAACAACGCAATCTGCAACATTAACTGAATTAGATAATTTTAGCTTAGCTTATACCGTCCGTTATACATTAAACGCGCATGGATAAATGTTTTATGCGCATGCGCACACGCATATTCGCAGCTGTAAAGGTCTTACGCGCACGCGTAAACACCTATAGATCATCTGCACATGTGTCGCGTTGACGCATGTGCAGAAAGTTTGTAGCTTTGAGGTCCGGATTATAGATCATTCTTGGATTATGGGTGTCCGAATTAACGACTTTTGACTGTACTAATTATTATTTATAGAGTGAATGCAGGCACATGACAAAATTTCATTTACTTTGACGCCCTTGCATCCCATATTCCCATATTTTTTCAAATCAAACATTTTGCAAAAAATGATAAAAATTCATTGTACTATGAAATTGTTAAAATTTTACTGTAAAACTCAATTGGTGCATTAAAAAAGTATTAAATGACATAGTCTGCAAGTGCATAAAAAAGTAAACATCGCAAATCACTTCTATATACAAATAGAGAAAAATAAAACTACCTACAGAAATAACAAAAACCTAATATAATAAAATTGGCAGGATTAACCTAGCTTGTTCATTATGTATCTGGTAATAAATTCTCTAAATATTGGAGTGTAGTAATCATAATATTATGTGCTTTCTTACCTGTTTTCACAAACATATACAGTCAAAAGTCGTTAATCCAGACTCGTCGGGACTTCGGCGATTCCGGATTATCGATTTTTCCGGATTATAGATCATCAGTTTAAATCTCGTAAGATGGCATGCAGAAATTCTAAAATTAAAAATATGAAACCGTAATTTATGAAATAAAGAACAATTATGATCTAAAGGGTATCCAAATTTACAAAAAAAAAAAAGCTTAATATTTATTTGTTTACTTTATTAAACATTTCCTTCAATGTAAGTTGTTTAAGTTGCTTCGTTTTATGTGATAATACTTTCTCTTTAATTCTATAAACAGACATAATTTCTTGTTCAGTTACAAAGTTCCGCTGTTCAAGTCCCGTAATTGCTGTGCCGAGAATACCAACTAACATGTCAATCGAAATTTTTTCGTTTTCACTAACCTCTCTGTCACCTTCTGCATGTCTTTATCCATTTTTTGCTGCAATTCCAATTTTTGTTTGACGGACATCGAAACATACTTTCGTTTTGTAGATCCTTTGGGAGGTCCAGCATCGGAAATTCTATTTGACATAATCGAAAGTTCAAGTTTACTTTTATAAAATTGCTCTTACAGTCTGCAAAAAATAATAAGCCGCATCCAATTCGAAGATTAAGGAACAACGCAATGATCAACATTAACTGAAATAGATAATTAGATCATTATAGCTTATACTATCCGTTATACATTAAACGCGCATGCGAAAATCTATTCTGTGCTTGCGCACACGCATATGCGCTGTCGTAAAAGTCTTACGCGCACGCGTAAACGCCTGTGCGCATGTGTCAATGAGGCGCATGCGCAGAAAGTTTTTAGCTTTGAGGTCCGGATTATAGATCATTCCGGATTACAGGTGTCCGAATTAACGACTTTTGACTGTATATGCAAAAACACAAGCATAGTGACTATATTGCTGGGTTCACACTGTAACCTAATTCGAGTTAGGTAAGCTAGGCATGTTGAAAATATCAATCAGCTCTGCTATTTATTTGAATATTCATATTGGTGAGCATAGACATGTACGGCAAAATCTAATTGTAAAACTGTGCATCAAAAAGGCAGAAAATTTTAAAAGTATAATTTCTTGTAAACAATATTTTGGGCACCCCATCCAAGTGGGCCTTGTGTGGATGAACCTGTTATATATGCCTAGTTATGGCACTGGGATTGGACAATAGATAAAATAGTCACTGGGACTGAACAACCTCAGTGCCTATTTTATTTACACAATCAGCATGATTTCTTCCTTTGGGGAAACTTGAAAGATTTCTTGTATCAATAGATTCCTTACGGAGCTAGAACAATTCATTATTTATGAATGTGAAACCATTCGAGTAGCCATATTGCAGAAACGTCTGCTCAGTTTTTACTTTGCTTACAACAAATGATTATTTTGAATAGTGGATTTTTCGTAAACATTTTAAAGTGAGTACCAAAGGTGAAATTGCCAGTTATTAAAGCTTTTATTTCTATGATCGAACAGTTTCCGTAACTGAAGTGCCACATGTTGGTGATATTTTGTATTTCCTTGTACTAATACAAGGAAACATATTAAAAAAAAATTCCTGACCTCACATGTTAATTGTCTATAAGAATTATTTTAATAGCTGTCATCATTTGCTTTCCATTTCATTTTAAAAACCATCAATCAGTATTAAATAATTCTATATGTTTGATGAATTTCTAAGAAAATATATATAACTGATAAATAAATAATTAAACACATTTTATAGAAATATTAATGCAAATTTATCTTTAAATTCTGTTTGTACTTCTGTTTTACGTGCTTAAAAAAAATCATCAGATAATTTAATGATTATACAGTGAAATCTCAGATCAGGAACCCCTCTCATTGCGAAGTGTTGAAATAAAAAACATTTTGGGCGATGAACAGTATCTCAAGTAATGAATACCAAAGTTTGTTGGAAATAATTTTCAGAAATGTGGACTTCAAAAAGATCATTTTGATATTAACTTAAGGATAGTAACCATTGCTTAACTTTGATTGTCAAAACGTAGCAGCATGTGGCTCGCTGAACCATGAATCCAGTCTGGTGGAATTTATGGCTAGATTGTCTTGCAAGGAGAGATTTTGAGGAATTTGACAAATTATTTGTTATCTATGATATTATATATCTAGACAAAGCCCAGTAGCAAGTATAAGTACTTTTAGTGACAGTGTCATATCTATTTAGAAACATTTAAAAATGTAGACAACAGCAGATCACAATGGGAAACTTATAAATGAAAGAGCTTTAATGACTCTCAAGCAGATTTGAGAGAGGGGCTAAGAAATAAAGAAAGAGAAAAGAAACCCCAGAAAAATATTTTTTGATATTTTTATGGAAAGGTATTCTTCATCTAAACAATGACATTTCATCCTTTCTCTGTCTCATCTGTTTCCATTTATTTATTTGTTTTTCCCTTTACTATGATTTTCCTTAAAATAAAGTAAAATAAAATAATCTATGTTTAATTAGCAGAGCAGCAGCAACCTTAAATTTGGCATAGATTTAGTGAAGAACTCGATCGATTTCAAAGACAGACAGGTACAGGTCTTTCTTTATCAGAAGCAAAGAAGTCTATAAAACTGTATCAGTTTTCCCTCAAAATCGATTGAGTTCTTCACTAATTCTACGCCAAACACGAGGTTGTCACTTTGCTGATTTTATACTTCTCTTTGGCATGTTTCTCTTCTGTTTTGAAGATCCACATTCCTAATAATAAGGTAAAATTAAATTTTCATCTAGTTTACCTGTTTAGTATTGTGTTTCTTCTTTTGTTTTATATTTAATGATTTCCATTTGTTTTTGTGTTAAGAACTTGTATGAAAAATACTATTGTAAATTTTAAATAGTCATCAATGGTCCAGAAACAGATGAATTCATTTTATATTAATTCTTGTGGTTAAAATCATTTCAGATGATGAATGTACTTCAGGAATGAAATTCATGAACTGATGTTTAACTCTATTTTAAAAGCTAAATCTATTGCATTTATTAATATTAAAGTTTTCAACATATTAAAATTAAATAAGTGTAGTTCAAGTTATCAGCATATTAAAATAAAATAAGTGTATAAATATGATTAATACTGCAGTGTTTTTCCCTTTACTATGATATGTTTGGATTGGATTACGGCAAAGCATGTGAGAGCTATCTACCTATGATATGTTTTTGTACATATTTGTAACTTATATTACATAATTTTGTAATTTCGTTTCATTTACTTAACTTTCTTATATTTCAGTAACTGGTACCCTTTTTTTGTGTTAATCTTTTACCTTCTGTCGCCTCTTCCTACATTAATATCACGTCGATATAGAGATGACATGGGAACTAGCAGTGCTTGCCAGGAGGTTGCAATTTTTTTAACAACTGGTATCATTATTTCTGCATTTGGACTTCCAATAGTTTTAGCTGAAGCACCTTCTGGACAACCTGTTGTAAGTTGATAAGTTTGAGTAATTTTAATATTTTAATAGATTTATTATTTTTCAAAATTTAAGAAATTGCAGTTATTAAAGCTTTTATTTTATTATTAAGAGCTTTTAGTAACCTGATCAGAATGCTATTTACTTGTGATAGTTTTTAAGTATCAAACACTTGGTTTTAAGGAAGAAATTAAATTAATTTTAATAAAAGTATAAAAACTAACTGTGTAAAACAATTGTAAGAGGAAGCAAGCCTGTTTTTCCCTTCTTAGGTATAGTGACTTAGTAGTCCCAAAGGCTGATATTTTCCTTTTTTTTTTTTTTTTTTTTTAATTTTATATTAATGGAAAATTATATGCTTGTATTTTGAATATGCAAAGTCAGAAATCCAGACTCATTGGGACTTCGGCGATTCCGAATTTGGGATTTTTCCGGATATTAGATCATCAGTTTAAATCTAGTAAGATGGCTTTAGAAATTATAATTAAAAACATGAAATCGTAATTTATGAAATAATGGAAGTATTTATGATCTAAAGGGTATCAAAATTTACAAAAAAAAAAAAAAAAAAAAAAAAAAAAAAAAAGCTTAATATTTATTTGTTTACCTTATTAAACATTTTCCACAGTTGCTCTGTTTTTTGTGCTAATAGTTTCTCTTTAGTTCTGTAGACAGACATAATCTCTTGTTGAGTTACACAGTTGAAGTCCTGTAACTGCTGTTTCGAGAGTTCCGACTAACTTGTCAATAGAAATTTTCTCGTTTTCAGTAACTTCTGTGTCACTTTCTTCACTAATGGTAATGGTATTTTCTGGTTCTAGAACCATAATACAGATTTTGCCATTCATCAATTGATTGATGATTGAGAAGCATTGCCATCACAATGAAAAACTTCTTTTATATCATCTTCATTTATTACCACTTCTCCACATTTCTTTACAAAATCCGTTAATTGGAAAATTTCCCCTTTGTTTTGCGATATCCAAAAACCTTTAAAATTAGCTGCTATCATCATCAAATTCAGCTATCCTTCACTATACATATTTGGCTATGCATCATGAGCTTGGCAACTAACGACAAGTTGTTCCATTAACTTTTATCTTGCTTCTATCACGCACTGAGACAATTAAGCTAGAATTGTATTAGTTTAGTTATTTATGATACTTTGTCTTATTTATTACGCATGCTGGAGGCTTATCTGAGTCCTAAATAAATAAATTCCCACATATACTTAAGGCTTATTGAGGGCCAGTGCTAGTTATCTTACTGTCTGATGCATTCTCTGTGGTTCCTAAATTCTGCCATCTGGTGCAGCCATACGTACCCTGGTGCTGGTTCTGGGTTTATATGAATAACAAATAGTTTATTCTTAATTCAAATAGCTCTAAATGTAACTTTTGGGCCTATGAGTATCATTAACAAAATCTATTTTTAGCATATGGAAAGAAATTTTTATTAAATTTTTCCTCGTCAATGTTTCTTAGTGCATTTAATCTTAAATCTTGTAATCATCCCCAAATATAATGTCAACAGTAAAAAGCTTAACCATACTCTTTATTATATTGAATTACTAATAGAAAAAAATTGTTTAGACATCGCTGCATCATGCATCAATCATTACTCAAGTTCTCATGTTTTGATAAACATGTGGTGATGAAAGGAAAGTATAATAAATAATGATTCACCAGGTTGGCTTCAAATCAATGATGCTGTGTGAAATGTTCAGTGCCAAAGGCAGATTCCCAGCAATGGAGCCAAATTACTGATCGTGCAGATTTATGCTAAAATGTTTGTTTCTTCAAAAACAAAGTATTTTATTTAGTATTGATGTGAAATTAAGAATCGGGACTCTCCAGATATTTTATTATGTGTGGAGGGGGGAATTAAATGCACATGCATAATGCATAGGAGAAAAACGTTATTGGTGTTTTTGAGGTCCGGATTTTAGATCATTCTGCATAATGGATGTCCGGGTTTCAGACTTTGTACTGTATAATACACAATTTTGTTTTATAGGCATTTTATTGCATTAGCAAGTACTAAAAGATTTAGATTGTTGTAATTAATAAAAAATCTGTATGAGGAGTCTTTGAGACTGCTTTATGATGAAAGTATTACATTGATTTAATTATATAAGTGCATTATAATGGTTAAGGATTAATGATTAACATGTTATGATTACAAAATTATGACTGAATTGTCACATTTGGTGCCCTAAAATTAAGCCGTAAAAACACAGCCCTAAAATTAAGGTAGTATTTAAATTATAGATTTTTATATTCAGGCTATTTTACATATATCATTTGGCTGTGCACACTATGTGTTTATGAAGTGTTAAGATGTTCCTTGTTCGACTTGTATGCAGTGATTATCGTGTGAAAAACACGTGTTCTGGCTCTCTGATGTAATGTCCATGTGACACATGATGATGGAAGCTCCGATCTAATGAGCCATGGCTTTGCATAGAGGCAAAGGTAGGCAAGAGGGCATGACCATTGTCACGTGATAAGCAGCAGTTCTGTTGCATTTCATTTGATCGGTCCGTGAAGCTTGCAGTTTGGTGTGCATTCTCACGTGATGACGAGAAGTCATCTGATAGGATCTTGCATACTTCTTGAATCGCTAAAGCAAAATACATGAAACTTCAAACTAAGAGAAAGTTAAGATATACAATATTTACATTATTTAAAAATTTTGAGAAGTTTCAAAAAAGCCTGTGTAGCAACTACAGGAGCCATATCAGGGGGAAAGTTCTGGTTCAGCATATGAGCTGCAAAGGGTCAAAGGTAGTGGTCTAGTTTTAAGATATTTTTTAATGTCAGTCTTATTGAAGTTACTAAATGTTATCTAGTGGTGGTAATTACCAACACTTCTGATCTTACTATCTGTAACATATTGTCTGCTTATGAAAAGGCCTTTTTTAAAAATTTGCATTTGAAATATGGTATCTTAAATTTAAAGAATACGAGACCTAAAGTTTTCTTTACATAGTCATTTATCTTCTATTAATTTCTTCTTGAGAAAAATGTATCTGTTCATTCACTTACTAGCCAGGTTGGACATTTACAGGCTACTTTTTACTCTCTGAAGTAAAATTCCAACATCTAACTTCTGCAAAAGCATCCAGAATCTCTGTGAATATAGTAAGAAATATATAGCATTACAAAAGTGTATGTTGAAGATTAAAGAGTGTAAAGTTTTCTGCAAATAGTGATTTATTATAGATTCAATCCTAGAACTTTTTAGATTCAGCAGGCATGCAGTAAGCTAGTCTATATTATTAGCAGCTCTTGATGATTTATATTTTGTCATTCATTAAGGTATCAGAATTTTGCTAATTTTCTGTACTACTAATTAAATTTTTCATAATGAAAAACAACAGTATACAATACTTAGAGTTTTTATTCTGATAGTGGTAAAATATATAAATCTCCTTAAGTAAAATACATGGGAATGTTATTAAGTAGATTACATCTGTTGTAGAATAACAAGAAATAGCCAATGACAGTTTCAGAAGGTGTCACCAATCATCATCATACTTTGTACTGAGTCAGAGAGCAATGCCATTGATCATTAAGGGGGTTTAGAGGAGTATGAGGAGAAGGTATTGTGTTGGAAGAATGTGCATTAGAGAAATATTGAACTATGATGTATATTTAATTACTAGTTCATTTTCAGGCAAGTGATGAATGTGATTGCTGCATCATGTTGTCATAGAATGTTGTAGATTTGGGTTGCAGTTTGCCAAATAGTCCAAACTGTCTGTATCATTGTATATATTGTTTCATCATAATGCCAGACCTCATGTGGTATGAATAATCCAGGACCATTGTGAACAATTTGGAAGCCAACTTCGGCAGCCTCCGTATAACCCGAACTGAGCCTCAAATGATTTTCACTTTTTCGATTCAGTCAAATTGGTATCACCAAGATGAGACTTCAAACAAGTCCCATTGTTTTCTGTGGCCTCATCAGCAAATCTGTATGCAGTATGTATTGAAGCTTACATATATCTGCAGGATAAAAGTATGAATGTAGGTGGTAGTTATATAGAAAAATAAAATTGGTTGCTTCATAAGTATTTCATGCAGTTTTATTTGTGTAGCCATATGTGACCAATTTGCTGACTACTCTGCATAATAAAGGAAATCATTTGAAATTATTACTGTTAAATTAAGAAAGTAATTAAATAAATATCAATTTTGTTTTAAAGAACTAAAGCTTTAAAAAATTATTTACCTATGTTTTCAAAGTTTTATATTAAAGCATATTTGTTTGTTTTGTTTTTCAATTTGTTTAATCTGAACATTCTTTTTTCATTTACCCATTTATTTCAGATAGAATGGGGTGCTTGTGGCTTAGTTCTTGCTGGAAATATAATTGTTTTTCTTACAATACTTGGATTTTTCCTTGCCTTTGATAATGATGACATAGATTATAGCATGTGGTGATAATGTCTTTCAAATTATATATATAAATACACTATCAGTATATTTATTCTTACAAAAGTTTTGGTGGTTTTTAAAAATTTAATATTTTAGGAATTTAACCTACCTATTTTAAATTTTTTGCTCCAATCAAATATTTTTTTCTGAAATGTGCTGTATTCCTCTTTAAACTGTTAACAGTAAGTACTTGGGAATTAATTATAACTAATGCAGTTATGTAATTTGTTAAATTATGATTAGATTTAAAAAAATATTGTCCAGTTTATTGAAAGTTATGCTAAATTATTCTTTATAATGATGTTTGGTTAATAAGAATTGTAACAAATAGTTTTATCAAATATTAAGCATTGAATTTATTGATGTATAAGGTGTCCATATGAGAGATATTCAGAGTAATAAAATTATATCTCAGAAAAGATCCAAAAAATATCTGATTGTACACAATTGTTAAGAAAAAATATTTTAAAGAAAATTTCTCTCAGAATAATTAGCACAGTTATTTCCATTATGAGTTCCCTCAGTATTAATATTTAACTTCGTTGAGCCAGTTGCAGTTAGGAAAAAAAAAAAAAAATATTAGCAATGTGGGATTTTGAGCCAGGGCATTTTGTAGTAAAGAGGGAGTAGAGGAGAATAGTGATACAGTATTTATGCAAAATGTAAAAAATGTATAACCATAGTTTAAGAATATTCCTTAAATATATTGTAAATGTGAGTATTCAAAGGTTATTATGATGTCAAACTCTAAGATGTTAGTGGTATGATAGTAAGGTACAGTATAAGTTAAAATTTGTGAAATAAACTGAATTTTATGAGTTAATGACTAGAATTTTTGTCATTATTTAATCTTATGGAAACTTTCTTCTCTTTGTTGTTTTAGTGAATAGAGAATGGGCTTCATAAATAATATGTTATGAACCCCATTATTGTGTCATTTGACTGTATTACTTTGAATTTAAGACATAATACAATTTTGTAATTGGAAAAAGTATTATAGAGTAGATGACCTTGAATTTAAACTCAACAAGATTTTTAAATTGGAAAAAATAATAAAAAATAAAAATAATTTGTAAGTTTCTCAAAAAAAAAAAAAAAAAAAAAAAAAAAAAATGCTTCAAGCAAAGACCCAATTGTTGGGTAAAGTGGAATTGTTAGAAATAAGATATTGTAATATTTATTTTAAATTTAAGCCACAACATAATTTTACTCGTATATCTTAAAAATCCAAATGGAAAATATGACATGAATTCAAAGTAGTGCTGGATTAATAATAATAAAACATGCATTTGAAATAAAAGCAACTGTGCTAATTATCAATAGTTCATCCATGTAAAAGATGAAATTTATGGAAGTGAATTGTCAAAAGATACAAAATGATAATACAATCTGAATGGTCAATCTCGGTGCATGTAAGTGTAGCCAAAACATCTCTTATCAAAAGATACAGAGTGAAATATTATCTGGAACAATCAGTTCTGTCAATAATACTTGTATACTGTTATCAGAACAATCTATCTAGTCAATCTCATTAAATGTAAGAGCAACCAAAATATGTCCTGTATGGCTTTTATGTATATTGTATTTTGTTAATTTTGATTTTACAGACAATGGTTTTGACTTAACCATTTAAAAAATAATCGAGTTGTATTGACTGAGGCTCTTTAATATGTAGTTGATTCTTAAAGATACATCTCCATGCCATACCTCCTGTAATCTTTAAGTATCATCATACGGGGCTTATCCATGGCACTAAGTGATGCATGCCCATAAGCAGGTGCCATCATGAAAGTTCCGTGTATGATGGCATGAAATAGAAGTATATATAAGAAATAATTTTGAAGGTATAGATTCATTATTTTGGATACTTTCCATTTGGCTAACTTATTATACTTCCATAAATGTAAAAGTAAATTAAAATTGCAGTTACAAATTCTAGTTAAATGCAGTAGCTTTGTAAATTGAGCTTTTAAGAAAATCAAAATCATTTGATGTATGTGTGAATTTTGTGTATAAGTACTTAATAATCTGTTTTAAGTATATATATTGTGACTTTCATTTTTCTTAACCCTTACTCAAAAATAAAAAATGCTGTTTCTAAATATGCAGTATATTCTTGTATATTTTCTCCCTTTTTTTTAATTAATTTTTCTGTCCGAAAATCGAGAGAAGAAACTAATACAAGTAATTTACTTTCGAATAATATGGTTAAGTAGCAAATGAATAATAGTCATGGATGAATTACTGGTGACTGTTACAATACAGTACAAAGTCTGTAATCCAGACTCATCAGGACTTCGGTGATTCCGGAATAAGGGTTTTCTGGGTTATAGATCATCAATTTAATTCTGGTAAGATGGCATGCAGAAATTATACAATTAAAAATATGAAACCGTAATTTATGAAATAAATGATCTAAAGGGTATCAAATTTTACAAAAAAAAAAAAAAAAAAGCTTTATATTTATTTATTTTCTTGTATATATATATTATATTTATTATTATTTGTTTACTTTATTAAACATTTCTTTCAACACGCGCATGCGTAATTCATGCACATTCTTTACGCTCGTGTGTAAAGTTTGTGGCTTTCAGGTCCGGATTATAGATCGTTCCGGATAATGAATATCCGGATTACGGATTTTGTACTGTATTATTTTTTAAAAGAAACCTACATTCCTGTTAGGATGCTTGGTAATATTAACATTATAATATCTAATAAGATATCTTCCTTTCTACTTCCCCATAACTTGTATCTTGCCTGTTTCTGTCATTGTCCACTGCTACCCTGTAGGCCTCAAATGATTTAGTGTTGCTGGAAGTACTTTTTGCATCACTGTTAAATCTTGTCTTCCCATTAAGTCTTACGTAATGATCTTCAAAACTTCATGAAACATATCACTATTATTGCTTTATCAATTAGAGCCCATGCAATCCAAATCACATGCAAATCAGTTCAATAAATGGTCCCTAGACTTTTCCAGTTATAGTAAAATTGTGTGACTCTGTTGATATCCATTCGTACAACTTTTGGAGATAATCTTTGAATTGGTTGTTCACTGATATGTCCAGTCTTGCAGCCCTCCTGGCATAATGAGAGGAACAGTCTAATTCATTTACATCTTCCATGAGATGCCCACGAAAACTGCCCAAAATTAATACTGACTTCTTAGACAAGAGAGCAACTGGCTGACAGTTCCATATAATTCTGAGCCGCTCTTTCATTAAGTCATGTGACATCTAACCTATCTCATGTACCCTAACTATGATACCACAATAGAATTTTTGTTTTGGCATCATCTTCCATTTAAAAATTGCAAAAGGGGGCAATTTTTCACTATCAGTAGTCATTGTTAACATTACTAAGCAGTGCACCTTTTCAGCTCCTCTAGTTTTTATACCACAGAAGCTGCTCGTATTTCATTAGCTGTAGCGTTATTAGGTATATAAAAAATACAGGAGTTTGATCAGCATTTTCTACATGTCCAAGACTGTAATCATACTCCTTTCTTTGCTATATCGCAAACCTGTGAAATTCTAACTGCTTTACTTCATAAACATGTGGTAGCCATTGTGCAAGAATTGTTCTCCTTAAGCTAAGTTTTTTTTTTTTTTTTTTTTTCCTCATAAAGAAATCGAGTCATCCTCTGCTTCCGTTGAATTGTTAGGTTGTAATATTATGGTTTTTCACTTTATCCTTTGCTTTTATGTGTAGTATTTCACGCAACACAGATATGCCATTCCTTCTTTGCTCTGGTATGTAATTCAGCACCTCATATTAATTTATGGAAATTTGTCAGTTTTCAGTCCCCAAAATGCTCTCTATTCTCAGTTTGCCTTTCTCGGTAAATTCTTCTCCCCCCTTTCCAAAACTGAATCAAAATAGATTGAAACCAGCCAATGTTCCGGCAGGTTTGACACCATTAACTTCAATGAATTAAAAAATTTTTAATTTAAACTTTCCTATGTAGCTATGACTGTTTTCTCTGAAAATTTGTGATACATACTGCACTCATAATTCATAACTCAAAAGAAACTTCTGAATCTGAATTTCCAAGCTTAAGTAAAGAATCGATGTTAAAGCCGGAAATATCGTGCAGAGTATAATGTGTCCAGCTCAGTTATCTTGTTAAACCTCAGGAGCACCTCACAGTCTTGACCACAGTTTTCAAGAGGGCCATTGGAAGAAGAAAAGTGAAAGAAGTCAACAAAAGACTAGATAGTTTATTAATGAATCTGCAAGAAATGCATTTCAAATAGTAAATGTGAGGGAAAATAAATGAATGAAATGATAATACAAAAATGCAAATACAAATTAAATATACTGAATAAAAATAAAAGTTATCAAAAGAATGCAATTTTCCAATAAACTTGCCCTCCAAGGGGAACAACTCTGTACAATAGAAGAAGGGGGAATTAAGTTAATATTTTAAAAATATTTAGAACGTAGCATTCAAAAGTAAGGAAAACATTACATGAGAAAGTACATGTATATTATTGAATATTTAACCATGAAAATTTTAAAGGACATTTCTGATGACAACACATCTTTTTCATGCCGCAACTCTGGTACTAGTTACTGCAACAGCAGAAATTAATTCTTAGCAATCAAATTGTTTTATGCGTGATTTCTATGTAAGCAAGGTGTAGAAAAGTAAACCAGGGAAAACAATAAAGGAAGCTAATTTTTTAATACAAACTTTTGATAGTCATTTTTGTAAAACATGATGATAGTTCATTATATATTTAAGATAGGAAAAGTAATTAGATAAAGGCTGTTATTGTTACATTTATATTTTATAATCATTTATTTAAAAAGAGAATAAAAAAAAAATAGTTATTTAGATTTTGGTTCTTTAAAACCTACTGATAGTTGGTTATTAAAATTCAACATGCCATTATATAGTATGTTATGCAAAAGTATTTCTGCCCTGATCCAGTTAGCCTTTATTAGTTTTTAGCATTTTTTTATGTATAATATCGAATTTTTTTTAACATATTGATTATATTTTTATGCTTCTGTAGAAATATTTGTTAGGTTTTATCTTTTGCATATTGCATTTGTATATACTCATATTGTGTGTGTGTTTTGATGTAAATATAATATTTGGCATTTGTATTTAATTATCCCAAATGCATATTAATAAAATATATATTTGGAAACAAAGGAGAATGAATGATTTGTAAATTTTCTCGCATTTAAATCGGTATTTTAATTGCTCAAACATTTTTTGACATAACTCCAAATGACAGATTTTGTTTTCATAATGTATATGAGTAAATGTTTGTAAAGTGATTTCACCTATCTTGAAAACTTATGATAAAAGTCTAAATTTTTTAATTTATATATTAAACAATTTTACAAAATGTCAAAATTTCAGTTTAGGACATTTGTTTAGCTTGTAATTTTATAAAGTGTTTAATAAATTAAAATGATTTTATTTTATGAGTTTATGTATATCTTTCTTGGGAAAATTTTAACATTTCTTCTTCATATTAAAAGATACGGTGTGGCATACTACATGTTTCAACTGTGGTGTTGATATCTCGTAATTTTCATCTTTCTTCATTAGCTTTTGTTATTTCAAAAATTAATATTCTGCTTGCTATTTCTGAGAGGAAGGATGAAGGAAATATGTATTTAAAGCATTTATGTATAGAGGTATTACTATAATTATTGTTTATCATTTTCAGTTTTTTTTTTTTTTTTTTTTTTTTTTTTTCCCCCTCTCAGTTTCTGTTGAATCCTGTATAACTAAAATTTCTTGTAAGTTATATAAGTTAAATATGGAGATCCTTTTTTTAAAGCCTTAAGTAAATTAAGGAGAAAATCGTAGAATATATCTATTATTGTCTTGTAATAACTAGCAGCTTGTGGTCAAAAGTTGTAACTTTGCTTTGGAAAGAGCTTTAGCGTAATTACTTTTACTTGATGTAAAGCGAAGAAGTACTAGCGGTACCTGTTCCCAGAGTTTATAAGACATCCCAAGATGCCTTCACATCAATGTTTCATCATAAAAGTACACTAGAGTTTTATACAAATTGGCCTCTGTTTGCCTAGATAACAAAGTGCAAAAACATGAGTGTTCCATCGCAAAGAAGCCAATACCCATA